GTTTGGATGTTCTTACGTAGTGAACAACAGGATGAATGGAAGAAAGCGCAATTGAAATGTTTAGTTGGCAACATCCGACACAACATCATTTCAACCACTTTGCTATGTAAGTCAGGTTGGTATTTCAAACAGGAACCCAATGGTTTTTCACTTGAGCATGCAGCAACGCATAAGACTTTGCTAGAAACAGCTTATTTCGCTGGATGTCCTTGGGTTCGTCTGTGTCCAGCTGAATCCTCATCTTGGGAGTCACACTTTCGGTTGTCACAAGTCCACGATACTGAACAACGTGAATCAACCTTCTCCCCTGGTTTGAATCCTTTGTCGCGTGCAACGGAACAAGAACTCGCCGAGCACAGGATACAAGGCCACGTCCCACATCATCCGCAGTGTATCGAATGTGCACGTGGACATTCTGTGTTTCAGCATCGACGACGGACAAAACAGGGATTGGAAACAGAGATTCAAGCTGATTTTTGCTTTTTGAAACGTGAAGGGGAACGTTTTGAGTTTTCCGACAAAGAAGGAAACATGAAGGTTTTGGTGTTAGTAGAGCTGGCAACAAACTGTGTTGGTTATGTTGTTGTTTCGGATGATGTTACTACCGTTCGTAAACAGATTGTATCTTGGCTAGAGCATTTTGGTGTGATTTCAAGCAATACAAGTGTCATCTTACACACAGATGCTGAGAAGGCAGTAGGAGAACTGGTTGCAAAAGGGTCCACGCAATACAGTCTCCAGATTCGCAGAGCGAGTGCACAGCAACATCAGAGCATTGGCGGTGCAGAGCGATGCGTTCGACGGCTGAAGGAGGGGCTGGCAATCTTACGGGCCGACCTCAATGGCCGTGGTGTGGACGTCATCTTCAACTCAAGTAGTATGCAAGATGTGTTGAACTACTTGGCACTGTCACACAACCATTTTTCAGTTACGCCAGGAACAAAGAAGAGCCCTTTGGAAACGTCATGTGGTAGACAGCTTTCGAAACCAACTTCATCACTGTATGGATGCACGGTTTTGGCAGAGCTTTCAGATGCAGTCAAGGCCAAGGCTCCAGGTGAGACTAGATCGGTAGAAGCTGCTTTTGTACATGTTGGTTTGAGTCATGGGCCCCTTGTTCAAGGTTTGGTTCGTGTGGAAGGCGGTCATGAGTTGATGCGTTTTCATGCCAGAAACGTCAAAGTTGTTTTGCCACTACAATGGAAACTGGAGATGTGTTCTGGTTTGCTGCAGTCATTTGCAACGGGAGCTTCACAAGGTCCTGCAGGGACTTTGGAAGCAGGAACGAGTGGTCAGGCGCTCATGGGTCAGGAACCTAAAACTGTGCGTTTCTCAGAGTCTGGAGCAGTGGATGTACCAGACACGGTACTATCTAGAGGTGAAACTGGACTAGTAGATGTTGAAGGTCTAGACGCAGGCTCTATTAGGAAGTTGAAGGCGCAACCGGCGAAAAAGACACATTTGAAACCAGAAACGACACTTTTGAAACCAGCTTTGAAGAAACAAGTTGCACCAGTGGGTTTTCCCAAGACCCCCAGATGTCCGTCGTGCATGACGGGAATGGATGCGCCCGGCTGTAGACACAGTGCAGAGTGTAAACGTAGGAGACAGGCGTATGAAGCGCAATCTGTTCCGGCCGCAATTGAATATTTTCCCGAGACGCAGCCCGAAGCACTGCCGATTGAACCCGACGTTGCATTGGAGAAACATGAAACGGAACAGACTCAGGAAACACCTGGAGAGCAGTATCAGCGTGTAGCTAAGAGACCAGCAGACAAGGACATAGAGGACTTAGAGAAGGAGATAAAAGGTTCTATGTCCGTGATTCTTTTTGACACCGATGTAGAGTCCGAAGCACTGGATTTCTTTTGTTCTCTTTCCGGAAGACCCCTTTCAGAAGGGCGAGAACATGAGTTTGGGTTTCAATCTATCACCTCTCCGGAGGTCTTTGATGGTGAGTTGACGTCAATCAAGTTTGACACTAGTGGAAAGCATGAGAATGTGGCAATGCCATTAGGTGGTGGAACAGTCCTGGTGTGGAAACCCAATGAAGTGATCGACGATTCCTCATTGGAATTGTTGAATGTGGATTTGGGATTTGTTGGCATGCAAGAGGAAGTGACGAATTTGGAAGGATGCGAAACAGGCATTTTGATGCATGGTCCTGAAGTGGACGCGGTGAAGCGAGTCAACAGTCAAGTTCGCGTGGTACCAACCAGATGGGTGTGCGCGTACAAGGACGAGACACGTGTACGAACACGGATTGTTGCAAAGGACTACAATCGTGGTGCATCGGCGCGGAAACTTGGTTACTCCTCACCTACTCCTTCCATAGAAGGTCTCCACTTAGTTTTAGGGCTAGCTGGAAAGCATGATTATCGGTTGAAGACACTTGACATTGGACATGCCTTCATGAACAGCCCTCTTCCAAGTGACCAGTTGGTGATTCTTAGAATGCCATTGTCAGTGAGCCACGTTGATGGGTCTGTTGCTTTTCTCAAGTTGAAGCGTGCCCTCAATGGGCTCCGTGATGCGTCTCTACATTGGATGAAGCTTTTGTCGGAAACGATCAAGGCACTTGGACTTTGGTCGACAGAGTTGGAGCCTTGTATTTTCCAAGGTCATGTGCATGACGAGTCAGGAGAGTCGGTTGGGACAGTGATTCTCTTGGCTTATGTGGACGACTTGATCATGGCCAGTTCGACAGAGGCTGCAGAGTCCATGGTTGTTGATGCAATCGCACGCGTTGTACCGACCAAGGTCACGGGTACGATCTTGCCATCTCAAGAGGGAGGTGGGAAGGTGACGTTCATTGGAAGAGATATTTTTAGGCATGCGTTTGAGCCCGCCGTTCACATCATGGTGAAACCGGAGTATCTAGCAAGCACGTTCAAAGAGTATGGTATTGACAAAGGTTCCTCTAGTGTACCCGACATATCTACGCACTTAGAGAAGACCACGAAAGACCAGGCAGCTCAGCAGTTGTTGTCACCTGAGGGGTACCAACGATTTAGACGTGCGTTGGGAAAACTATTGTGGCTAAGCCAAACACGACATGACCTTAAATTGTTTTTGTCGTTGATCGGTTGCCAACAAGCAAAACCAATGCATGGAACAGAACAAGCACTTCGTGCTCTTCTTCGGTTTCTTTTTACAGATATGCATCTTTCTCTTCGTTTGCCGTCTAGTCAACAAACAGAATTGCACTTTGAAGGAAAAGAGTTATTCCCTTTTGTTGTGCACGCGTTCAGTGATGCTTCGCACGGACCGTATCGGTTCAACCAAAGGAAGGGCATCACTGGAGGAGCAGTGTTTTATGAGAATGGATTGGTGAGGACCATGGCAAGGCAACAACAGAGCACATCCTTGTCGAGTTGTGAAGCAGAGATGTATGCAATACAGCTCATTGCACAAGAAACAGTGTCTCTAGCTCGGTTATTCCACCGCGTGTTTTTTGGATTGAGCCTCGTGGAAGAAGATGAACTACTTCCGATCATTTTGGAGAGTGATTCCATGGCAGCGATTCAGTTGTTGAACAGCTTGGACCTCCCGAGGAGGTCACGACACATTGAGATCAGGTTGCTATGGCTCAGAGCTAAGATCGAAGCTGGTGAGATCCAAATTAGACATAAGTCAGGAAAAGCAAATGTGGCAGATCTCTTCACGAAGTGTCTACCTACGGCAGACTTCAAACGACACCGAACAACTTTGGGTTTTGAAGTGATAGAGCGACCTTTTGAAGACTTGAACGAACTTTTCTTCATGGGTAGTGGAACAACTGAAAACCCAGAATACTGTGTTGTTGAGGTTTGTTGTTCTTCGAACTCGAACGTGAAACGAGCATGCATACGATCAGGAATCAAGTACATAGGGGTGACTTCGGACATGGAACGACGGAGCGTTCAGGAACGTGTTCAGGAACTGGTTGGTGTGCAGGCCAAGCTTGGAAAGTGGATACACGTGCACGTATCCACACCGTGCAGGACAGGCTCTCCCCTCAGACATTTTCACAACGAAGGAACGCAACTTTCGAAGGAGTCAGAAGCAGAGTGGGTCACGGTCATGTCAAACGTCACGCCGTATCTGGTTCTCGGAGATTCTAAGAGTTTCGAGTTACCTAGGACAAACGACATTTGGAAACGAGAGCTGACGCTTCGAACATTAGAAGATAATGGGTTGGTTTTTGAGTGTGTTGTTCATCTATGTCAGACTATGTTACGTAGCAAGGCAGGTGACAAGGTTGGAAAACAGTTGAGGTTTGTATCAAGTTCTTTTGGTTTTTGTGAATCACTACGTAAGAGATTTGGCACTTGCACCTGCAGCATACATGCCAGTATGAATGATGTCAACTGGACAAAGTCGGCTTTGTATACTCCTTGTTTGGCTCGTGCAATTTTGCACGCGATCAAGGCCGGACGTCGTTGTCCATGAGTGTGGAATGAGTTTCACCTTTGAGGTTTGAAGGACCTACAGGATGAAGACCAAGGAATCGACCAGTTTGAAAGTTGAACTTTGGCTTGGAGCGAGCCTTGAAGCCTCAGCGTTTTTACCCTTAGATTTTGGACGGAGACTGAACTTAGATTCAAAGCATGAATCACAAAGCACTCAAACACGAGTCACTCGAAGCACGAAGCGGTGAAAAGATGGTCATCTTCATGTTTTGAGTTTCTTTGCACAACGAAGTTTGAATCCGTTGCTTTAAGCAATGTATGAGTACTAATAGCCTGTGTGGCTAAGCCACAGTTGAGTTTTACTTTTGTCTGGTGCATGTTTTTGCTTTGAAAGCGTGGCGCACAGCAGGCAAACACACTTTGGTGCATGAAAAGCTTGCAAAGGAGCGTAGGTGAGTAACGGCTCTTCGTACTCTCCGTGGTGACCCTGGGGACCCTTGCTGTGTTTGTTTTTGAGTCCTAGCTTCACCTTCGTGAGCGAAGCCATGGTTCTTACGGAGGAAGAGCAGAAAGAACTGCTTCGCCTACAGGAGAAGGCGAAGGAAGGTGTGAAACAGTCAGCAGGCAGCTCACAAAGGTCAGCTGGTGGAATGACGGATGCTTCGAAACGCAGGCTTGATGACAAGCCACAGGCAGAAGAGTTTGAGCTGGTGGCACCGTTTGATGAGGAGCTTGGCTACTACAACCTGTATGACACCCAAAATACAGGAATTGCGTTGCCAAAAGATTGCGAGGCAGCAACACAATGGGGATCTACCAAGATGGTAATGGAGAAGTACAAGGCAGAAGGGTTGAGCTATGAGAAGCTCGTGCTACGAGCGGTACATGGAGACAAGGAAGCCGACCGCTACTGCCGATTCATCATGAACAAATATGGAGATTCCACTATGGCTACGCAAGGGCCGGATTTCGCCAGGTTCTTGCTGCGGGTGAAGTTTGACCAGCAGAAGCGTGTGGAAGGTTTCGTGAGGACCTTTGTGAAGTGAGAAGTTCAAGAAGGTCTTTTGAGACCATGATGGCGCAACGACATGGCAGCTTGGTGCTGGTTGGACATCGTTGACGATCCTGAGGCCAGCCTTGTATATAAAAAAACAAGATGGAGCCCACGAACCCGAATGCAAACACGTTCGAAAAGCTACATATGTCCAAATGACACTCTTGTAGGACACTCTTGTGGGACACTCTTGTGGGTCACTCTTGTAGGAAACTCTTGTGGGACACTCTTGTGAGACACTCTTGCGGGGCACTCTTGCGGGACACTCTTGTGGGACACTCTTGTGGGACACTCTAGTAGGAAACTC